CATTGATATTTCTGCCTCTTTCTCCTTCTTCTCTGAAATCAACAAAAATATATATTTTTTTAAAAGAAAGTAAAAATAACAAAAGCAGGAAGAAGCTTTCTCCAACTTCTTTTATTTGTCTAAAGATAAAAGAAACCCGTTTGTCATAAATTTCCTCCGTAGGAGTTTCATCAACTGGGATAATGACTCTCATCAAAGAAGAAACCAGAAGTCGACACTGCACTCAAGCCAACTTTGGCACAAACTGTCACACTTCCCATCCATTTTTCTAAAGACCATTCTTCCTTCCTAAAACAACCAACTCTCCCCTAGGAGTTTCCCTCCCCTTCTCCCCCCAAAATGTAGATGGTCTTTAATTCTGAATTCTAAACAACCTCTTTGAGTTACTCATTTTTATCTGACTTATCTCCACATGAGATATACATGTTGACAAGTATCTGTTTGTTTTCCTTTTAGTATAGAGGTCTCAGAAGGGTAGAGGAAAATTCTCTTTTTTTCTTCTCCTACAATGATTAGTGTAAAAGGTCAAAAAGGGATGAAAGGATTGAGAGATAATCCAATGGATATAAGCAATCAATCAATGTAGAGGAAACCTGCCAGTATTTCCCCCTCTCTCACACCAACACTCGAAAAACCTGCTAGTTTTTATAATTATATCAAGCCTCATGTACATCAAATTATTCCCAATCATATTACTCATTTTTATTTCAATACATTTTTATTCAAAAATTGGTGTACATCAGCAGTCAAGATTTTCAGCTTTCAAAATTGTCAAGTTTATTCCCAGGACTTGAAATGTCAACCATTCCAATGTAATAAGTTGGGGTAATATCTGGAATTTACATTTTTAACATAGGACTTCCCTGGTAACTCTAATGGTATTGAATTAGAGTTTTGAGAAGCACTGAACCCTAGTACCTAACATAGTCCCTAGTGTGCAGTAGACTCTGCGTGAGTTGTTGCATGGAATGATTTCTTCAGGGTAAATTCTTTTATCTGTGTCAATATTTCTTGGTTTGGTTAGGGCCAGACCCCAAGAAGAGATGTGTTAAGTATCCACTGAGTACAGTAAATTGATCTAAAGGATTAAGAACATATTTCTTATAAAACTTTTTGTTGAGTATCTAGTGTTGGCCTCATCTAAAAAAATATATATTTAAAAGTTAGTAAATATATAAAATATTTATTTACATTTTATTCCTTTACTTTTATGTTTAGATATATCCTGATTTTTTTCCCCAGTATCAGAAAAATACAATTTTACATGTTTTTCTAGTTTTGTTGATTTTTTTCAAACCTGGATTATTTTTTATTATAATGAATTTATTACACTAAAGGAATTTATTTTGCATATGATACACTGCAGTGCTTTAATATTGGTCCTTTTAAAATAATCACCTGTCTCACTCTAATTGTTAAATATTTTATATTTGCCATACTTATTTGAATTATGGTCTTTGTAATGACATATATAGTGATCATATATACAGTCTATATACAACAATTAAATACCTTTATAAGGTTTATAGATTTTTCGGTCTACTCCACAGATTTTATATTTGCTGACAATTTCCATGCTCTTTTACTTTTAAGCTTTATAATATTTTCATTACTTGGTATTATGTCTCTGATCATTAGATTTTATTTTCAAAAGTTCTTTGCTATTTTATCTGCTTTCTTCCAATTAAATATGCAAAGATTTTAAACAAATTAAAACATATTCCTTGGACATTTTATTCAGATTGCATTAAGTATCAAATAACCTGAGGAAAACTAGCATTTCCTTTATCATTGTGCATCTATTCTTTAGAAACATTTGTCTTTCTTTGTCTAGTTTATTTCACTTAGCATAATGTCATCTGAGTTCATCGGTGTTGTCGCAAATAGCAGAATTTCCTTCTTTTCTAAAGATGAAATATATTCTATTATATATTTCTTTATCCATCCATGCATTAGTAGACATTTAGGTTGTTTTTATATCTTGGCTCTTGTGAATAGTGTTGTAATGAGTATGGGAGTGCAGATACCTCTTTGAGATACTAAATTCGTTTCCTTTGGATATATATTCCCAACACTGGGATTGTTGGATCATTTGGTAGTTCTATTTTTAATTTTTTTAGTAATCTCCACAATAGTCGCACCTCCAATAATGTGCAAAGGTTCTTTTTTCTCCACATTTTCACCAATACTGATGTCTTTTTAATAATAGCCACTCTGACAGATGTAAAATGATATCTCATTGTAGTTTTGTTGGCATTTATTCCCCTGATGATTAGTGATGCTGAGTATCTTTCTGTATACCTATGATCTTTTGTATGTCTTCTTAACTACTGTATTTTTTTTCTTTTTAAATACAGTTATTTAGTTTTTTTGCTATTTAGTTTTTTGTATTCCTTATATATTTTGGATATTAAATACTTATCAGATTTAGGATTTACAATTTTCCCCCATTGCATAGCTTGCCTTTTTATTCTATTTAGTATTTCATTTGCTGTGCAGAAGTCTTTTAACTTGATCCAAACTCATTGGTTTATTTTAGCTTTTGCTTTTGTTGCCTGTGTTTTTGGTTGTGTCATATTAAAAATGATCATTCAGACCAATATCAAGATGCTTTGCCTATGTTATCTATGTTTTATTTTAGGGGTTTTATGGTTTCAAGTCTTACATTTAAGTGTTTAATAGATTTTGAGTTGATTTCTGTATATGATGTGAAATGTGGGATCAATTTAATTCTTCTGCATATGGGATATCCAGTTTTCCCAACACCATTTATTGAAGAAGCATCTCTTTTCCCATTGTATATCCTTGTTATCTTATCTTTGTAGATCAGTTGAACATTATAGTGTGAATCTATTTCTGGGATCTCTATTTTGGTCCACTAATCTCTATGTCTGTTTTATGCCAGTACTACAGTGTTTTGATTACTGTAGTTTTATAATATATTTTGAAATCAAGTATCATTATGCTTCCAGCTTTGTTCTTTTTGTTCAGATTGCTTTGGCTATTTTTGAACTTTTGTGGTTACACATAAAATTTTTTTTCTACTTCTGTAAGAAATGTCACTGAATTCTGATAGGGATGGCATTGAATTTGTAGATGACTATGCATTGAGTGAACATTTTAACAATATTAATTGTTTCAAGCCATGAATACAGAATGTCTTTACATTTACGTGTCTTCTTTAATTTCCTTCATCACTATTTTGTAATTTTCAAGGTACAAATCTTTTACTTCTTTGATTAGGTTTCTTCCTAAGTATTTTATTCTTTTTAATGTTATTATAAATGGGATGTTTTTCAAATTTCCTCTTTGAATAGTTCATATATATATATATGCTATTGATTTTTGTATGTTGATACTTTACTGGATTTACTAGTTTTAACGGTTTTTGTTTAGTCCTTAGAATTTTCTACATGAATGAACATGTCATCTGCAAACAGAGATAATTCCACTTTCTCCTTTCTTATTTGGATCCTCCTTTCCCTTACCTGATTCTTCTGTTCAGCACTTCCGTGATTATTTTGAATAGCAGTAGTAGCAGGGCATCCTTGCCTTGTACCTTTACAGATCGGGAGCCAAGTCCACAGTGGGACAGAGCTGCTTATGGGACTGCATCCAGGACCACAATTATCAGCCAACCATGGGCCTGACTTCTCAAAGTATTCTTCCTCAGTCCTAGACTCCACCAGGGTTCCACAACTTGGATCCCAAGGCTCATAAGGGCACTTTTGTTCATGGATTTCTGTCATATGGTTGTTTCTGTTGGGGACTAAATCTGGGGATCTCCTAACCCCCTGTCTTGCTGAAATCATTTCAACTATCTGTATTTATATTTATTTTGATTTTTCCTAATCAGATATACCAGGAAATGACTTTCCTTTCAAGAAACAAATTGAATGCTTTATATAATTATTCTGTTTATTTAATGAATGTATTAATTTTTATATTCATATATAATAATTTTCTAAATGAGCTTTAAGATTAGGGAAGGGGAGGGGGAGGAAGAGATTAACTAAAGAATGTATAAGCATGGATATAGACAATAGTGTGGTGAAGGTCTGGGGGTGGCGGGAGGGTGGCAGTAGTGGTATAGGGTGGAGGGGGTCAATGAGGGGAAAAGGGGGACATCTGCATACTTCCAACAATAAAGGTAGTTATTTTTTTGTGTTGTTTTTTTTTAAGAGAGTTTTTTTTTTATGTTTTATAAATTTACATCCCAGGCAATGAGTGATTACTGAGAGAAAAATATATAAGCACTAAAAGATAGTATAAACAAACCAGAATAAAGTTGTGTTTCCTAAATAATGATTTTAAAAAAGTATTTTTTTTTTTTCTCATTGCAATGCCCACCTAGGCGGTTTCTTCTAAATCCAGCTGTAAGATTGTTATAAACCATTCTCTGCAAAAGGATTAATTTAGAACATAGGAAAAAATATATATCTTGCCAGCAGGGCAGTGTTGATTATTTCTCTTTAATGTAAGTTGTGCATGCAGCATTCGTTTAGAATATAGGTCACTTGCAAGGAGATGATCCCCATATTTGGTGCTAACAAAGCCTATGTGGCTTAGAAACCTAATAACCAAAAGAAGCCAAGATCTCTTGTAACAGCTCCAAATGCATAGCTTCCAGGGTCACCAGAGAAACAGGGCCAATTACAAGAAGTGCTGCATTCCAAGAAGCTCAAAGACATGGCTTCCTTTCATATGTTTATTGTTCTCCCTGTCCAGGTGACATTTATTACATGGGGTCATTTTACTAGAAGCTGTGTTGTCTGGGAAACATAGTTAACATTCTAACCGTATCAAGCTTCCAGGAGAACAGAGCTATAAATTAACCAAAAGCCAAATTCTCGTTCTGAATCGGTGCTTAGAAATATGGGACCTATTATTTTATTTTTGCACAATTAAATAGGTACTAATGCAATTTTTTGTCCTTTCTGTATAACTTGGTATTCGTACCTTCAATCCTATTCTCTTCTCTTGTTCTCCATGTTTTACAGGTAAAATATGGAAACTATGCCTTTGTGTGGGATGCGGCTGTATTGGAGTATGTAGCCATCAATGACCCCGATTGCTCCTTCTACACCATCGGGAACACTGTTGCTGACCGGGGATACGGAATTGCACTGCAGCATGGCAGTCCTTACCGGGATGTCTTCTCACAAAGGTAAGGTTTGTGTGTGTTCTAAATAAAAAGAGAGGCATCACAGAAAAAGAAAATTCACTTGGTTATCCTATTTAGTTTATTATATTTTGTTTCCTTTTTTTGAAAAAGCACAATGAATAGCAACCAAAAAAAAGGTAGTTATATGACATTCGTTTCTTAACACATGTACTGAAGTATTGGTTTTCCTCTAAAAATGGGAAAATATCACTGCACATGACTGGCTTTACTCTCAAAAAATTTATATATATAAAAGTGACCATTACTACTGGATGACTGGCCAGTAGCTATGATGCACACTCTCCACCAGAGGGCAGATACTTATAATAATTCAGGAGCTGCCCTCTGGTGGTCAGTGTGCTCCCACAGCCAACCTCTTGCAGCCAGACAAACTAGCCTGGTCCCTCCCTCCCGGCCAGCCAATCTCCCATGGTCCCTTCCCCTGTTATCCAGTCCCATCAGGACTGGGTGAGATGGACCCCATCAGTCCCAATCGCCAGCCAGACCAAGGAACCCCACCTGTGCACAAATTAGTGCACAGGGGCTCTAGTTGTTATATAAAAGAAAGTACTGTTTTAATAATTTCTTTAGAATTTAACTGAGAGATTTAGTTTGTGTGAATTTTTACAGACTAAGTGACATAGTTAGAAAAATTGATTTATTTCTAATAACACCATATGATAACAAATTTCAGGACCAAGTTAAAGTTCTGATATACTGAAACACATAATGACAGAGATATTTCCATCTGAATTTTGAAAATATCTCTAAATTTCATGTCAAAAAGTATAAGGAGACAGGTTAATAAAAAAAATTATACCCATCCCTTGGAACAGGAGAGCATTATGCTAAGCAAAATAAGAAAGTTGGAGAAAGATAAACATCACATGATCTCACTCATATGTAAGATATAATAATGTATTATTATTATTATTATTATTATTATTTTCACATCTTCTTCTACATACTTTCTAAAAGCAAATGTCAGACCCAGAGGTCAGTTATATATAGGTAGTATTAATGCCCCAAATTTTAAACTATTTGAGTTGTATTCCTGCAAATTTTAGGATAACAAAAAGCTAGGTGTTTTGTGCTTTGAAAATTTTAAAAGTAAGTCTGAGTTGTGTTATATCTCTTCCATTTGCCAACTATTAATAAAAATCTAAGCCTCTCTCCTTTTCTGCAAAATAGGAAGTTAGATGAACTCTGAGGTCCTGTGTTAATCAGCTTTTCTGTGTAGTAAACAACCCAGAGTATCAGTGAACTGAAATATATTATTTCTCAGCTATGAAACAGAAGGGCTGTGACTTGGTAAGTTCTGCTGTAAGTTGTGGGTCAACTGCAGGTCTGCTCCCTGCAGCTTCTCATTCCAGGGCCCAGGCTGGAGAAGCAGCCCTCTCTGAGACACGCTGCTTTCATGGCAAGAGCAACTGAAAGGAGGCTGATAGAAACCTGCAGAGCCTGTGTGCTTCTTGCACGGATGTGGCACCTGTCTGGGGGTTCCATATCCGCCATTGGTTCCTTTCACCACTGACTAGAGATATACAGAGTGTCCCCCCAAAATGTATACACACTTTGAATACCTACTAATTCCAATGGATTAAGCATGAAAATAAAGAAACAATAATACAGCTGTCATTTGTTAAAAGTGCAGGCACAGCCAGGACCGGTTTGGCTCAATGGATAGAGCGTCGGCTTGGGGACTGAAGGGTCCCAGGTTTGATTCCGGTCAAGGGCATGTACCTTGGTTGTGGGCATATCCCCAGTATGGGGTGCAAAGGCGTGATGCATGACTCTCACAGTTTCTCACTCTATCTCTCCCCTCTGTCCAAACATAAGATATATAAAAAAAAAAAAAAAAAGTGCAGGCACAAACCGACAGTCAGATATTCCCCAAGAGGTCCTGGATTAGAGAGGGTGCAGGCCAAATTGAGAGGCCCTCCCTCTGTCTCCCTCCTACCCCTCACCCCCATGCATGAATTTTGTACACAGGGCCTCTAGTAGATAATAATTAATCAATCTAAGTATATTTATTGATTAGTAGATCCTAAGAGGAAACAAATTGGAAAATCAGTTATATCATAGGGAATTTACTTGCAAGATACTTGCAGTCTAGTTGGAGATGAGACCCATGCATATAAAACAATGACACTTACTATTATTGTATACCTGCTATATAAGTACTTATAGTGACCCTGCTAGTGGTTCTTAACCTGTCATGACTCACAGGTTGAGAACTGCTGCTGTAGAGCCTAAGACTATCGGAAAACACAGATATCTACATTACAATTCATTAACAGTAGCAAAATTAGTTATGAAGTAACAACGAAAATAATTTTATGGTTGGGGGTCACCACAACATGAGGAACTGTATTAAAGGGTTGCAGCATTAGAAAGGTTGAGAACCACTGTTCTAAGCATTGAAGCATGCCATTGTTTTCCTGTGTTTAGAACTGAGGATGGAAAGCATAATAGAATGAAAGGTGATACCCATGTTTTACAATGTAAGACCACAGAAAGGTTTAGTGGATCCTAACATGAACCAAATGACAGCAAAAAAGAAAAAAATTCCTTAATTGTGGTTAATGGCTTTTTATTCACTACAGAGGTGGGTGTTTGTGGGGGGTTTTTCCCAGACCCAATTACTTGGTCTTTTATGCGAAGGGGGGGGAAAAAGTGAAGCGGAAAAAAAAAGTGAAGCCAATAAAATCAATCTATAAACATAATAGCAAAGAAATGTTCAATAAATTACATCGTGTTCCATTTATTATTATCCCTGTAGTGGTTTACCTAGGAGAGATTTTAATTCTGTGCAAATGTACTCTAGGGAAATGCTGAAAAATAATATGATCATTAGGCATTATTTTTTCCTTTCTTTGACTTGCATTTATGGATGTTGGAAATTTAAATTGTCCCTTTATGTGGACTTCCTTGCTAATGACACACTATATCTTGGTTCCCTATACATCTGGAAAAAGAGAGCCAGGAAATAAATATCTGGCAATCGTGGGTGTGCCAACGCATCTCCCCCACATGTGTGCCACCTTAGTCTATCATGCAAACTCTTCCCGAGTTCAGAAAACATCTGCCTTCATTCCCTTTTGCCATAACCATTAAACAAAGAGATCTTTTTTAATAACTGATTTGAGAAATTGCAAAGACCATCAAATTTAACCATTGGAGTACAATCTAGAAATTATTATAAATAGCTACCATTCACCAGCTTATTGTGTGCTGCTAATTAAATTTGACTACCGGTTGCTGTTGTGATTATTTCCTATGAAAATAACAGTATTTAGGGTGATTTTAAATGTTTTTAGTGATTTTTAGGTAGAGAGTGAGGGAGAGGGAGAGATAGAAATCTCAATGAGAAAAGCACATCAATCAGCTGCCTTGGCATGCCCCCTATTTGGGATCGAGCTCACAACCGGGACATGTGCCCTGACTGGGAATCAAACCCAGGATCTCTTGAGCCATGGAACAATGCTCAATTCACTGAGCCACACTGGTTGGGCTTCTTTTTTTAATTCTCACCAGAGGGCATGTTTATTTATTTTAGAGAGTGAGTGAGAGAGAGGGAGAAACACCAATTGGTTGCCTATGGGGGTCAAGTCTGAAACTTAAGTATGTGACATGACCGGACTTGACCTTTTGTCGCACAGAATGACACTCCAACCAACTGATCCACCCAGCCAGAGCCAGGGTGATTTTTAGATAATTATTTTTCAGGTAACTATTGCCTATAACACACCATAAAATATATCAGAGTAATTTGATATTAATACATATTAATAACTAAATAAAAATATAGTGATATAGTAACTACACTTATTATCTGTTTTCTGCCCAGTATCTTATGTGCTTATATACTTTAATGGCACTTTAAAACAATGATATGAAATTTGATGTACATTTGTTTCCTACACACTTGCCTATTCGTGTACAACTATGATACAACCGACTACATACACTGAGTAAATGGGCCTGAGCTTTGGCAAGCATTGGGTTAAGCATCAGAGTCCTAGGCTATAGTGATACATGTACTTGGACATGTGTATCTAAATAGACATGCACAGAAATAACTTTTAAGGACCAGAAAGTGCTATAATATATAACCGTAGATTTATATATTAGAAGAGTTTTGTTTCCTTGGTCCGTCTAAATACTAGGTAACTTGGCAGTAGAAGTTAAAGAACTTATACATCTCATTAGATGCATCAGAGTACTGTGCAGTAGGTAATGTTTGCAATTTTGTGATACAATTTGTTCATCAAGTGTTGCTGTTTTGTATATTTTAGTTGCAGTTGACATACAGTATTATATTGTTTTCAAATGTACAACATCATGATTAGACATTTATATACCTTAGGAAGTTATCATCCCTATAAGTCTAGTAACCACCTGGCATCCTATATAGTTACTAGGGGCCCAGTGCATGAATTCATACACTTTGAAAAGAACTGTGGGCTGTGAGGCTGCGGTGGGCACAGGGGTGGGTCTCAGCCCATCCTCTGCACCCCACCCAGCCCCTTTCATCACAGCCCCTGATCCTCTGTCTGCCAGCACCCCTGCTCCCACCATTGCCACTCCCATACACTGATGGCACCGGACCTGCTCATTCCCACTGATGGGGTGGAGCAATTGGGGCCGGAACCAGTAGTGGGTGTGAGCTGGGCTGGTGCTGTCAGTGGGTGCAAGCAGTGGCTGCTGCCCCAGTTGCTCCTCAGGAGCAGGGGGAGATGGAGAAGCCTTCAAGGGCATTTGGGACTGGTGCCAGGTGCTGGCAGCAGGTGTGAGTGGTGGCTCCAGTTTGAGTGGGGCTGGCACCAACAGTGGGTGTTAACAGGGCTCCAGCAGCAGGTGCAAGTGGGGCCATCACTGGCAGCGGGTGCAAAAGATGGCTGCTGGCCCCGATTGCCCCTCAGGAGCAGGGGGAGGTGGAGAAGCCCTAAAGGGCAATCAGGGCCTGCAACCACCATTCACACTTGCTAATGGCACTGAGT